TATATATATATATCTGTCTACCTCCTGATGCTGGGGCTGAACAGAGACATATGCTGTGGTCCTCGGTGAACTCGACAGAGCTAGCTAGAGTGCATTGCTGCTTTTACTAAAGAGGCATTGCGAGTGTTCCTGATTAGGGCAGAGTGGCCCTGTGAGCCTTGTTTCCTTTGTAAAGTGGATTTTAAAGACAGTAGGGATTCTGCTACTGTGTATGTTTCTACAAGTACCTCATCCCGTATCGTTAATGTGGAGATAGAGCAGCCTGCAATGAAAAAACAAAACTGATGGAAAAAATGGGATCAATTTATGTGGCAAAAATGGCTGTTTAATTGGATTTCATAGCAAGGTTGGGCTTTTCCACTGATAAAGATGCCACTAGGGTGTATTACGGTATTGTTCCACCATATGTGCGCTGGTGCATAGGCCTGAAAAACATGTGAAACTGCTCCTGGAAAAGACACCCAAAAAAACGGCTTCAGTAAAATATTCAGGAAAAGTCATAGCGTCTGCATCTTTTTCACAGCATGGATAGAGGAGATCCCTAGGCAAATTTAATCAGAGTTTCTGTTGTGCATTGTTTTAACCCTGTGTTTTATTGTTCAGCCTATACATTGATATGGAGTCAGTTTTGGGTTTTAGATATTTGGAAATGCTGCTAAAAATGCAGCTTTTTTTTTCTGTGACACTTGCATCGGCATTCATTAACAGATAGAGTGTTAAAACTCTTTCCATTTGTAGCATCTCAAAGATGTTGTGTAAACCACATTAGCTCCAATGCTGAGAGATCTGACCAGACCCAGCATAATAAAACACCTGGTTATTTTGTATTTTATTAACTGCCCCTTCTCTTCAGTTTGCATAATAGTGAGTTGGATTTACATTTGTTAAGAGGGCTGTGCATTACTCTTAATAGAAGACACGTCAAACTTCCCATCGCCAGCACTGCAGCATGATAAAGTAACCTCATATGATACTGATGAAGATTTCGTTCACACTTGCTGGTTTCATGCAACGTCTTTTTTTCCAGATGGATACCCTATTGTAAAATGATTTCCTGCTTTAGGCTCTGCTTTGTGTAGCTCTCTGCTATGCCATCTTTCTATGAACTGGATAAACTGCCTATTAAATTTAATTACAGCCTGAATGACTGCACATCTTGATCTTATTTTTCCTCCAATGTACTGTATTTCACCAAGGTCCTTGAGGATGAAATAAAATAAATCTGAAGGATGCATACTCCAGTAGCCAAAAGAAATGTTTCAAAGGGCATTACAATGACTGTTAACCCATTAGTTTTGGGCCATTTTGAAGGCAATTCTTTAGCTTTAACATTATAAAGACATTTTCTTCTATCTTTTTTCTGTCATTTAAAAAAAACCAAAACAAAATAAAGGAAGTTCCCAGAATAAAAATTCAAATAGAAATGATGAAATTAATTTATTAGCACTCAAAAAGAGGGGGAGCAGGAAAGGGCACATGTGCACCTTTGAACTGTTCAGCATGGTTAGCACTTTTGGCAGTTGGGGCCTAATGTAAATATTACTGGCTCCAATCTCCACCCTGTTCCAAGCCAGGGTGAGTGTCAGGCTGCCGCGCTTCGGGACTCATCAGGACTTACCCTTCATGACTGATGGTGGTGGTTATGGTGTCTGCCAAGGCAGCCCCAGGAAGGGGTCCAGAGCATCACTGCCAAGTTGAGCTCACTCCACATCCCCTTGTCAGCCTCTCCAGCCCTGTGTCCTTGCCGTGAACTGAAGAAAGCTGACAAGATGATGGCTTCACTGGTTTTCAAGGAGGTGGACATCCTCACCATCAGCAGTGGTGGTGACAGGCTCATTGGAGATGCTTCCTCCAAGGAAGTGTGATCTGTGTAAATTGAATGCTTTTTGATAGCTATTTAATCTGCCATGTCTGTTATACTTTTAGGTTGAGACTCTGCTCATTTAACTTTAATTTTAAAGTTAATTTAACATTTTAGCTTCAACCAGCTGAGGCAGCTGATCACATAAACTTCCTTTGCAGCTGAGGAGAATGCCAAAGCCTGAGGGGATTTTCCCTTGCTTGCCTCAAGTACCTATCTGGAGTAGGTGGATCTGCCTCTTTCTTGGTTAGTCAGCAATCTCAGATGGGACATGGAAGAGAGAAACTGCCTTTGGTTTTCTGTGGCTGCAGTTCACACCTTTTGCAAATTTGTTACCAGCATATTTTTACAGGTAAAATTCCTCTTGCAATGAAGAGGAGGTCACCCAAATGCTGAAGGCAGCTGCAACGGACACAAAACTTGGTGGCTCATGAAATAGGGGGGAGGGAGGACCATCATGCTGGCTGGATCCTGAACGGCATCAGATGGTGGCTAAATGGGAATATGCTGCACATGAGAGCAGGAGGAGAGGAGCTTTGGGTATTTCTGAGCTCTGTCATTACCTGTTTCTTGTCACTCTGCAGGAACCATGGGTGGATTGGAATTGACTCACCAGTGTTGTTGGACTCACGTCAAATGGGTCACAGAAGCTTTTGAGTCAGACAGTTCTTGGCTGACATGTTCAACTTTTTCAAGGGTTATTCTGAATATATGAAAATGAGTTTAATCACAAACTTAACATGACTTTGCTATGCATCCTAGTAAGTGGTTGACTTTTTGGTTGAGGTAGGTGAATGTATGTAAACAGACTCTGAAAGATGCCACCGGACTGTCCATGTAACTCTTCAGACAGTGAGGTGTATGTTGGATGCACCATCAAATGAGCACATAGCAATCATCAGTGCACATGGGGTTTTTCTTAACATCATGTAAAGAAATGCTCTGTAAGTCATGGGAGACTGTAGCTTCAGAAAGCTGTTGCAGAGCCACAGAGCAGATAAATTAAGTAGAACTAATTTGCTAAGACCTTAAGTATGTGAAACTATGTTCCAAATGTTGTGCTGCTTTTTCCAGATGAGGACCCAATATTCTTGTTCCACTGTTCATTTATATTTTCTGGGGTACAACTGTAAATTGTCTTTCTCAATGCACTTATTATATAATGGCAAGGAAGAATAATGATAGTGGCATTTGGAAATGTTTAAGCTCATTTGTATTCCTTGTACAGATGGCCTCTGCAGTCATAAGTAACAGAGAAATATCCAAGGAATTTTCAGGCGATTAATCCAAGTTTAAAACCAGCATCATCCCAACAGCAAGCTGCAGAAAATGCCTGGAATGTTAATAGAAAGTACTTCTGGAAGGAAAACTTGCTTGTTGTTTCCTTCCCTTGAAAACCATTTACTGAAAGGGACGCTGTTGATTTATGGTGTCTTCTATCTGTCTTTCCAGAACTCCAGTGCAGATCATCGGGTTCGACTGGACCTTGGGCTTTGGGACAAATTCAGTGAACTTGCAACCAAGTGCATTATTAAAATCGTGGAATTTGCGAAGCGATTGCCAGGCTTTACAAGTTTGACCATTGCAGACCAAATAACTCTACTTAAAGCAGCCTGCCTGGACATACTGGTATGTATTTTTAACATCATTGTTCTCTTACTAATGTGTTTTCTATTCTTCTTTTGACTGTGATTGGCAGGGAGAGAGGCTCAAATACTTGCCTGCCTTTATGGTTGCAAAATTGAACTTACTTGATAGTCCAGTGCAGTCAGGAGAGGACTGTAGCACATCCCCAGAGGTGTGTTAGTGGGACAAGCATGCTTTCCAAAATAGGTCTCTAGAGTTTGTGGGTTTCAGTAAAAAGGGCACATTTTGGTATTGTGGCGCTAACTTCAAGGATGTGGAATTTCAGAAAACTTGCTTTATTGTGAGCAGTGAAAAGAGATCTGTTTCTCTTTCCTTCCTCCTCCCTCCTCCCTTCTAAACATAATGCTCTGCATAAAGAATACTTAGAAGGAGAGTCCGCTGTATAATAGTTTAGGCATGTGCTGTACCTGTGGTCATGAGGGATTTTGAGCAACAAATCTTCAGAGTGAGGGTTTTCCAGGTTATAGAGGGGAAACTGGTGTGCCTGGAGCCTCTCAGACTCCAAGCCTCTGGCATGCATGTCCCTCTGCTTCCACAGTGCTGCAGGCATCTGTGGAAAGTGGCTGCTGGAATGGACTCAGTACAGATTTTAGCTAAATGTAACTAATTTTAAATAGGCAAGCATACAACCTGCAGTGGGGAACTGTGCACATGGGCTGGGAGTTTTTCTCCAGACCTTGCCTTGCTACTATGTCAGTGCAAGCTGTCTTCCCTCCCTTTGTCTGTAGTTGTTTCTGTCACGCTGACCTTCAGAGGAGCCCTCTGGGATCTCAGCGTTTCTTTATCAAGACCTTGGAGGTCTTCAGGCTTTTAGTGGCAAATATGCTTCCTATTATTGGTTGTAGCAATAACTTGCACTGAAACAGTATTTTCAATGTAAACATATCTTAAATGTTTTCTTGTGAGCACAAACCTTCAGTTCTTCATTGAGCCAAGCGTGGCCAGCCGAGAAGCCCATTGTAGGATAGCTACTGTGGATATATTTTTTGGCATGACACAGGAGTTTGAACTAGGGAATTTGAAGTTGAAGTAATTAATCTTGGAATTTCTGAAAGTGCATTGCTTCAAACAGGATCATGTTGAGGAGGACGTTAACTGCTGTGACCTTTTCCTCTTGTTTTGTCAAAAGCCATTTGGAAGAATCGCATCATGAGGACATTGATGAAGGAGGAAGAGGGAGAGGAGAGGGGAAGGGATATCGTTCTTTGGCCTGTGGAAAAAAGGAAGGCTGAGGTTGCCCTGCCATGCTTGAGAGTCACCTCTTGTTGTTCCCTTCGTCCAGGCACTCATTCAGACTTAGCCATCTCATTGTTACTAAGAGTGGTCCCTCCTTGGGGCAGGGCCATTCATTACCCATTGCATGCCTGTCATCACTAGCTCTGTCCTGGTAAAACCCTGTTATGTTCCCCTTACACCAAAAGGCAGATGGTAATTGATAAATTGTGAGGGTGCCTTGAGTGTATTCTGCCAGAGGTAGGGGACAGAAACTGCTTTGTGCTTTGCTATTGTGACCAGTAGCAAATACTTAATACAGAAACTGGCCAAAAAAAGTTGGTAGGAGTCAAGATATGGCAAGAATCTTGCCATCCAAATTCTTTACCCCTGAAACCCTTAAGGTCCCACCTCCTGTTTGTTTGTGCCATGCCCTGGCTCCATAGTTGCTTGGAAAAAAACCCTAATTCTGTAATTGTTCAAGATTCTTCGGAGTTCCTGGTGCTCTGCATTGGGCTGGGTAGTGGGAGCTTGCCCTAGGAACATGTGCAGCCCCTGTTGCAGGGGGGTCCTCTCAGCAGCTCCACTCAGTGCTTCCAGCACAGGCTGGGCACTGTCAAGTATTGAGGGGAGCCTTGCTGTTAGGGGTTTTATCTGAAGTGCCTTGATAAAAGCACTTCACAGCCTTTGATCAAAGTGACTAAATATAAGCCTAGTTGCCAGATTAGAAAAAGAGAATAAAGCAGGTGGTAAATGGTGACTTTTTTTCAACTAATTAATGGATAGAAAAGGTTGATTCTTTTAACAGGATTCACCACTTTTACTTTGTGGCCATGTGACAACCTTCAGGCTCTGATTATAAACTTTATTGAGGCCTGTCACTCCGGATCCCCAGCTCATTCTGTTTTTTGTTTTTCACAGAGCTAGGGAAGGCAGCACACCTGAGCAGGCAGGGCACAGTGAGTGCCATAGCTGCCCGCAGCAGGGAGGCACTGAGGCTTTTCCAAAACCAGGAATAGGTACAGATACAACATGGTTGCCATGAATAGTCCTAACTTTCCTGCATGGCATTTACGCAAACTTTATGTGCCTATTTTATGTGCTGCTTAAAAAGAAAATGGGATAATTACCACAACACAGTAATGTGTAGCGTGTGCTGCCTGTGACAGAGTAATGTGTAGCGTGTGCTGCCTGTGAAACGTCCGTATCCATTAACTCGCATCACCTGCACATAGTAGCAATTGCAGTGCCTCTCTCTGTCTTTATTTAAGCTCAACTTCAGTTTCAATAGCACATATTTTCCCCCCACGAACAAGCCAGTTTGTCCCAGTTACGAGTGTTTCAAATGTTTCATTTTATTGTGCATTGAGACAGCAGGCACTGTTCCCCCTCCTGCTGTGTGAGCGCTTGCTGCTGATGTGGGCCCGTGGGCTGCTGTGTGAGCACCCCTGAGCAGGGCTGTGAGCACCACCAGTGTGCACTCCTGATCCTGCTGCTCTGCAATCTGCTGGACATGTTCCCAGGGTTGTGGCATGCAGGAGGATCAGGGTGGAGTTTCCAGGTGGGTAGCCAGGCTTCCCCACCAGCAGGACCCTGTCTCCACTGCCCCCTGCCCTTCAGCACCAGCTATGGGTAGTCTTACACCTTTATAGGCCCTGCCCAGGGCTCTGCTCAGTTGGTTCCTGTGGCCATGGATGCTTAAGCCTTGCTTAAACAGGCTGACAAGGGAAATGGTGCCAGGAGCTCAGTAAACCCCACTGGCTATGTGCCAAAGAATTGTTTTATATACAAACAAACAGAAACTCTGGAAGGGAAATAACATCAAGCTTTGCGAGGCAGCTGGAGGCGCCAGTTGAGGATCGTGGAATTTGTATCTGCTCTGGTGCCAGAAGTTTCAGGGATAAATATTACTAAAATTCAGTCAGTAACCCTCGTAAAAGTGAGTGCTTCTGTCTGCTGGTACGCTGGCCCGGCAGTGGTCGAGCATCCCCAGCCTCGCTGAGCTCTGACAAAATGAATGTGGAAAGAGTCCAGAGTCCAAGCCTGTCTTAAATCCAATGGATAAAAACCTGAGACATCCTCAAATGCTAATCCCTAATGATGTAATTTTTGCTTTCTGTTGTAAAAGTCTGTGTGTTAATGCTAGGAAGGCATTTATGTGTGTGGAACAACCTGTGCTGAAGGGGTTTGGCAGCACCGCAGAGCATCATTTCAGAGTCACCTGCTTGGGTTTCTCCTCTCAGGGAACTGTCCCAGCTGCCTAAGGCACCCAGTGTCTAACAAGAGGATTTCTTAAAAAAAGAAGACCCAGCTTGCCTTACCTAATCTGTTTAAAAAGAGTAACAATTCTATGGTAGCAACAATTTTGTAAATGCAGCTTTCTGGATGACTTTGGGTTTGTGCATCTGGTTGGGTTTTTGCTTGGCACTTTGTAACTGTCTTATAGGAACCCCTAATGCTTTAATACATAAATATTCCTTAAAACAAAGGGTCCTTTAATCATGAGCAAAAACCTTATTTATGGCTGCAAGTGGCATTTAAGAGCAGAGTGACAACTAAAATACTTGGCTCGGTTACAGAATCTAAACAACACTGAGGACATTAGGAGTTCAGTTTAAAATGGAGAAAGATACCGTGATTTCTTATTTTGGAGTGCTGATGTTTCCCATATGTTCTTCAGTGAATATGAGCTTGAAATCAGCTTCACTTTGACACTGGAAGTTTGCCCAAGAACGGTTTAGCAGCGAATCAGCAATATCCATGGCGTTTCACAGATCTTGATGAAGGACACAAATTTAAAAAAGGGAAAAAAACCCACCACCATTTCAAATGATCTGTCTTGGAGTTTAATAACAGCATGTTGTAGAATAATGTGGAAGGAATGCAGGGGAAACCTGAAACCCGATTGCTGCAGTCAAGCTAAGTGCATTGCTGAAAACACATAGTTGATCTTCAGCTGTGCCAGTGCCCAGCGGAGCTGCTGCAGGCTCCTCCAGTTCATGGCTGGTGCAGCATTTGGGGTCTGAAAGCCTGAGATCTGCCTTTTGCAAAAACCTGTCCTACTTGCTGCCTAAGCCTGGAAGTAGCTAAATCCCATGGGACCTTTCTGTTTTAATTATAAATTTTGCAAGGCCTCTGGAGGTCCCTTTCTGTGCATGCCCACAGGGACCGGCTCGAGGCTTAGTAAACTCACCCCAAATTCGTTCCTGATGAGGATCCAGTCTGGAAGTCTTCCTCTGCATTAGCTCTGGGAGGTGATGGTCTCGTAGGTCTTCACTGAGCATGTACACCAAAATGAAGTGGAGCTTATGGCACTGGGGGGTCAAGCACAGAGAGCTTTGCTGTGAGGGAGCCAGCAGCCTGTTGTATGGTGGGAAGCATGTGTTTGGCTTCTGGGATGTTTGGGACACCCCAGTTCTTCCAGGCTGTGAGTCTCTGGGCAGTGTGGTGCTGGCAGCTGGTGTCCAGACTTGCTCTCTGAGGGAGGATCTAGAGGATCCGTATCTGCCAGCCCTGCTTGGGCAGCTGCCGGGGAAGCTGCAGGCAGCCTTTGGAAAACACCACGTTGTTGCCCAATTTAGCTCCAAGTCCTGCTCTGCTAATTTGTTGGGCTGGAAATCCTGAGGGTGTGGAGGGAGGAACTCCCGTTGCTAAGGCTTATCAGTTAAAATAGCACTGGAATAAAAGGGGCTGCCTTTCTCCCCAGCTGAGCTAAGGGAAAATCAGTACCAGGTAAGAAGTACAGAGCCTTGTTCCTCCGAAAGTTGGATAACTGCTCATCACTGGCCACACTCTGATACTGCAAGGCAGCAGGCCTGAGATGGGAATAGCTCTCCAGTTTCTCTCGCATGCCATTGGAGTAGTAAACCAAGTAGCTCTTGGGTTTCACAATAAATAGGCAGTTTTTCAAACCTTTCTTTTCTTGAAAACAACAAATTCTCCATGTTTTTTCTCCTTTCCATATGATCTTTTAATGATTTAAGAGGATAACCCACAGTGAACTTCAGGGGAGAGCATGGCCAGTGGTTACTGGCAGCACTGAATGTGGTAAACATGTTGTGTCTTACTGAGTGGGTGCCATGCTTTATAATGTTAATTTTTGCTAATGATCCTGAAATACATGTCAACTATTACATAAAACCTTTGGAGCAACCAGCAGCCTTTTAAGATGACTTATATTAGTGGGGAACTTGTGGTCACTGAAGAATTTGAGTGCTGTGTGTTTATATTTGTGCCTCTCTTGGTCATTGATTTAAGCCATTTCAAGAGGTTATTCAAATTCAGAGGTAAGGGAACAATGTGAAACATGCCTGTGCAACCACATAGAGTTTCAGTGCTTCAATGTATACCCGCAATGTGAGATAAGATTATTGCTGAGATAAAAAATAGTTGATGACCCTTCTGCAGAAATACACCCTATTAAGTCTCTTACCATGGAACTGAAGAAGAGAAATAAAAGCTTCCCTATAGGTCTCTTACAAGTCATGTTCTGCTCATTCTCCTCCCTGCTTATTTGGAGCAGTGTTGCCAGGCAAAGATGAAAGTGGGAGAACCAAGCCCAGACTGGTCAGCTGCCAAGTGCTGGGGCCTCTGACTCAGAGCCTCGGCAGCTATAGGAACAATTAAGTTCTCCCAGTGCTCACTTAGATTCATGTAAATCTTTTTTGTTGAGTCCTTAAAACCAAGTAGGATGGCTGTATGGGAAATAAATACAGTCAAGCCTTGAAAAAACACAGCTGTAGTCTTAGCTCAGCTAATCAACTACATTTCGGCAAGGGTTTAGTTTAGTTTAGTTTAGGGATAAGTCTTCTCCCACCTCTGATTATTTTAAACATTAAGCATTGATATATATAACAGAAATATGTCAACATGATGGACATCTCTTTTATTTGATCCTTAAGGCAGTGTTCATTAATAGCAGCTGTACAAATGATCCCATGCTGTACAGTCTATCACAGGACACATCCTGGGTTTGCTCCGAGAGGCGAAAGCATTCACGCGCTCGCTCTCTGGCCACACTGCCACCTCCTCTGTGACAGCACTCTTGGCGCTGCAGTTACCCCAGAGGCATTTACTAACAAAATGCAGAGTATCCTCGGTGTTTTATTCATGTGTTTTGCATTCCTCCGTGTCCAGTTAGAGGTGTGAATCCCCATCCTCCCCTCAAATGCTCTTTCATCTGGGGTCAGCACTGGGTGGCTGTCGGCATACAAGCAAACCTGCCAAAACCAACACTGCCTGGGCTTGCACAGGAGTGAGTGATACTGTCAGCAGCAGGAAGATAGGCTTTGCACCATGCAGACAGGGACTGCCCAGGGCTCAGAGGGAAGTGCCAGAGCCTGAAGGAAGGCAGGAGGCCCACAGGCTAGTGGGGAGGTTTGGTGTCACAGCACACAGAAGGAACCACCACCATAATAGTGGGGAGGTTTGGTGTCACAGCACAGAGAAGGAACCACCACCATAAAAGAAGAAGTGCTGGGCCAACTCCACAGGCCTCTGGCTGGTCTGCTGGCAGTCCTGTGCACTGCCATTTGGAAGCTCAAAGTTTGATAATCCACCTGTGCAAGCTCCCAGGCCGGCAAGACAAGGTTTGGAAGCTCAAAGTTTGATAATCCACTCCTGTGCAAGCTCCCAGGCTGGCAAGACAAGAAGTGTTTCAGGGAGACTGTAGCTGCAGCCGCTGGGGAGATGGAGGGCTTTGCGTGGCTCCCTGGGGAGCGCTCGCACAGGGTGGTGTTGCCATAGTTGTGGTTCCTGTCTGGTCTCACAGAGGGGAGGAAGGGGCACCCCAGAGTGCAAGTTATGTTCTGCCTTTTTTTCCCTGCTCACAGCTGTATTCACTCACTCATGTAAGATACTGCTGAGAGACTTTGTCCTTGCCAAAGACACAACCCAGAGAAACACTGTCATGCAAAACTGATCCCCAAAATCAATGACATATGCCTGTGTTCGAAACGGTGAGATACTTTTAAGATCCTGTTGGATCAGCTCATCAGTGCAATAGCATTTCATGGTTAGGTGCAGGTGGCACACTAATTAAAGAGCTGTTTATGTGGGTATTGTAGTAATGTTGTCCTAAGTAGTGAGAGTTGCACTGAAGTTTTGATTATTTGATAACTAATGGAAATTTCTGTTCTTAAACTCCTATTATTAAAAAAATACCCATAGTCATTAGACTATATTTATTTGTACTAGAGAAATTTTGTGCTACTACAACTGACCAAACTTTGATTTCAGCTTGTTTGATGTGCCCGTGTACTGCAGTTCCGTGGAGTCATTTGCCACATCAAGAAAATGCAACAAACCTCTCGTGGATTAAATTCTTCAGATTTCATTTTTCTTTTTGGTCTTTCTACAGATCCTTAGAATTTGCACAAGATACACGCCGGAACAAGACACCATGACCTTTTCTGATGGCCTTACCCTAAACCGAACTCAGATGCACAACGCCGGATTTGGCCCACTGACTGATCTCGTGTTCACGTTTGCCAACCAGCTCCTGCCTTTGGAAATGGATGATACAGAAACAGGTCTCCTTAGTGCCATCTGCTTAATCTGTGGAGGTATCGTACAGCATGAACTCAGACGCATTTGAAAAGGACTAACACAATAAGATCTTCATTTCTGTTTTACTTGCTTTCCTTTACTTAACACATAAAATATACATATTTGTAATATTAATATATATATTATGTAAACTACTTAACCATAAAGGTTTGTTTCCCACTGGTGATAGTTATTGGTTTTGTTATTGATACTTTAAAAAAGTTAATCACATCATTCCATCAAGCAGAAAGATTTGATTATTTGCCTGACAAAGGACATTGAGATATATCGCGGAATGGTTGGGGTTGGAAGATACCTCTGGAGATCACCTGGTCTTGCTGAGGTTTTTGTTAAGAGGTATATGAGTAGCTGTATGAATGAGCATTCTTAACAGCAAGATGCTCAATTATGCAGCTTTTACTCATAAATATAATTCTATGCATATGCATGAGTTACAGTCACATGGAAGTCATTGGTGATAAATTTCTTTAAACTGGGGTTGATTACAACTTGAAAGGGTCATTGTCAAGTAAAATCATGGTTTTGAAATACAAAAAGTGAAGTCTCAGATAATTTCCAAAATCCTCTGTAAATTTCTTGTTAGTTTAATCACCTTGTTTTTCCCCTCCTGTGCAAAATCTGGACTAGCAATAGACACACCTTGTTTAGTTGGGCCATTTTGTTGAAATACAAACTGGGTGCTAGTGGCAGAGGTTTATAAAACAAGAGTTAGTCTTCCTTGGCAATGGTTCTTTAGTGCAAAATCATTCCGATTTTATGTGTCTCTAGCTGTAACCCATCAAATGCATTGATGAGCTCCGAGATGTCATTGGTATGTGACTGGCGCATCCTGGTTTAGGGGTGACGTCTGTTGTCACTCAGGCCAGCACTGCCATCTGCCGGTACCTGATGGTAGCTCACTTTGTCGTAGTAGTGCTAGCAAAAATTAGCTGTAGCCTCTGTGCATACCTGGGTAGCTTATCAGCAGTATGTATAAAATTAATTCCAAAATGTGGTTTGCAGAAAGGCGTTCTCCCCTTGGAGATGGAGGTATGAGAGCAGACTGGTAATTCTTGTCCACTGTGACAAACCTTTCCAGTCACCAAGGGAAAAATTAATCCAAGTTTTGGAGGAAAGCCATGGTTTATCCTCTTCCTATGGACCACTTACTACAGATTGTGGGTTGTTAAATGGAGAGTAAAATGAAATTAGTGGGGTAATGGAGAAGGTTCTGTGATTTGGAGTTTGTTAAAAAAATAAATATTTCAAATTGTATGAGTGATACGATACTTTTCTACAGATCGCCAGGACCTTGAAGAACCAATGAAAGTGGATAAGCTTCAGGAACCCCTGCTTGAAGCACTGAAAATTTATATCCGAAAGAGACGCCCCAACAAGCCTCATATGTTCCCAAAGATCTTAATGAAAATCACGGATCTTCGCAGCATCAGTGCAAAAGGTACAGTGTCTCCCAGTAACTCAGCAGCAGTGGCAGTGTTGCATTTCAGAGGAACTGGCCTAGCCACCTGGGTTGATATCTTTCTAGTACATCTAAGAAAGGTCCCTTGTGACCTTTGTCTTCCTGTCTTCTTTACCTAACTCCTGCCTTTCAACTGGTTCTCCTTTGGACATACACAATCCTACATTCTTCATGCAACTGACAGTGAAAATGATGCCACACATGTAAGTAGGTTAGGAACTCCTGAGCATGAACTCTTTGTTAGTCATTTTAAGACAAGATAAAACCCTGAGTGAAACCTTTGTTATGTTTACAAGGGAGTGTGGGTCAACATGCACTTGGTATCACTAATGACTTTGAAAAAACAAAGTCTGGTTACAGCAGAAAACACTTGTGCAACCAAAATTCCCCTAAAGTGTGGTCTGAGGTACTGAAGATTTAGAACTGATTTGATCCAGGATTTTGGAGACTCAGCCCCTGTAATCCAAACTAACCATGCCTAAACATGGATCAGTTTTAACATTTTGTGTAGTCTTGTGTGTGATTGATTAAAACCTGAACTGTTCCACTTTAAATGATATATCCAAGTTAAAAGATTAAGTTATAGCCATGTTTATAAAAAGAAGTGAGCAATTTAATTGGATTGGTCAGAACCAAAAGAAGCAACTTGGAAGGGAAACAACCAGAGCTGGAAGCAAAAGTATCCTAAAAAGGAACTGCGTATCAGGTTATCTAAAGGTTGCAGTTTACCCTCAAGTAAAGCAAGCTCCATGGAACTGAATCTACAAAATAAACTTAGAGCAGTATTGAGCTATAAAAATATTTAGGGGAGCCCTTTCGTTCTGTTGTTCTTGCTTGTGGGGAATTCCACTTTCCTGCTTCTTTACCAGAGCCTTCCCACTCCTCAGAAACACAACTCTTGTCTCTCTATATTCAGTGCACAAGAAAGGCTGCTGCTTTCCATTCTGACATCAGTATTTAACTTTAATTATACCATTAATGTTTTATGGTAGAACTAAATCATACCAAAGGATGGTGATGTCCTGGAGGGGTGGGTATGTCTTGAGTTTCATTTGAAAAGATGTACATTAGACGATAATGACTTTGGATGGTACATGATCCCTGAAAGCAATTAACAAAGCAAGCGTGAATGTAAATGACTGAGACTGTCTCCTGCCAGTGGAGCTCCTGACACAGCTCCCTTATTCTGTGGCATTAGGGGTATTGTAACTAAAAGATGAAATGTTTGTGGGACTGAAGGGAGAGAGTTCTGAGTTCTCATGAGCTCTCTTATCCCGAATTAAAACTGGGAGTTTGCAAGGCCTGAAGGATTACTGTGGCTCTACACTGGAATAAGCACCCAAACACTTGGGTACTGCACCTGACCAGCAGAAAGCAGATGTTTAACATGGCCAAATTCAGTTCATCAACACTACTCTGACTACAGGTGGTTTTCAAAGAAGCTCTCAGCATTGATTTCTGAGTACAGTGCTTGCCTCTCTGTAACAGTCATTTAAGAGACTTTTGAATCAGCATTCACTTGGAAAGTTGGTCATTGCGTTTGCAGATGATTTTTTTGAAGCTCCTTGGTTGAGGCATGAATGTAAGCGCTCCCAGTCTGGAGTGACCAATGCTGTCTCCAGCATGTACATTGCAGTAGCACAGATAAGCAGAGGATTTCCAAAGGTTCTCTCTTCTGGAATGGTTCTTCAATAACCAGACTTGTGTGGCTTTGTGTGGTGTTTTTTCTTCCTCACGAAACTAGTATTAATTGTTGGCTCAGAGTCTGAGTAGTCAGGATTTATGCAGGAGTGTTGTTTAATCCTGCATGCACTCACCTGCAAATTCACCTCTGTGTACAAATGCCTATGCTACATGTGACAAAGCCAAATACTCAACACTTAGCTTCAGTATTGGTGTTTCTGCATTCTTTGCTGGCTAATTAGCACAAGGCAAGAAATTACTGCCGTAATGCTAAGAAAAAGGAAATTGTATGATGCAGACTGATGGAAAGGACTTTGTGTTTTCTTTTTAAAGGTGCAGAACGTGTCATTACATTGAAAATGGAAATTCCTGGATCCATGCCACCCCTTATTCAGGAAATGTTGGAGAACTCTGAAGGACATGAACCACTGACACCAACCTCAAATGGAAATACTGCAGAACACAGTCCCAGTATCTCACCTAGTTCAGTGGATAACAGCAGTGTCAGTCAATCCCCTATGGTGGAATAAGACATTTTCCAGCTACTTCAGACATTCCTAATACCTTATGTACAGGGATGAAAAGCAAGAAAAACATTTTTACTGCTGCTTAGTTTCTGGACTTAATATATATCTATATATGTGTATATATATATAGATAAACTCAACAAGGACCAAGAAATTTTCATATGTATCGATATATACTCCTTGCTGTTTAAACTCTTTAAAACTAGAAAATGCAAACTTTTGAAACTCTAAATCAGCCATTTCATGCAAAAAAAAAAATAGTTAAGCTTCTGTTTTCTCCTCTGAACATTCAATATTGCATGGTGACAAGACAGATCTCAAACTTCAAATTCTGGTTGCATTTCTGATGACTTTGTACATACAAATGTATGGCTGTACTCTCCATACTGGATGTTTGGTGCTTTCCTTTTGTCTCTCATACCTAAAACGATCAAGACACCAACCATAGGAAATGGACTACTGTACACATCCAGAGAAGGAAGTTTAAAAGGACCGTCTGATTTAGTTTAAATATGAAAACTTGTCTTTGATACCCTCAGTTTGCATCTCCTTCCTTGTAAAAAGTATACAAAACTTCACTGCCCTAGCAGAAGAGATATCGGTATCAGCATTAACTGCCAGATCAGTTATTCAGATGTCATTTGTTCCACTGTTAATGTCACTTTAAATTTTAAAGAAGTGGTTTCTTAGCTGGCTGGTGACCTAGCCACAACAATTAACTACTCCATTTCTACAGCAATGATAGCCTCCAAGGCAGCAACACTTTTCAGTGTTACCATGTTTTTGTTTACTTGTTCACAAGCCATTAGGGAAACTTCATGGGATGAGAACCAGCAGACTCATTTACAGCTTTCCAATCGCTGAGTCTAGAGTATTTCCTTAAGAATCAACTGCCAGGAATCAGCTGGGTCATCCAGCCTTCCAGGTGCTAAGGAAGTACAGCTAGGACTTCCAGAAACACAAGGAGAGAATCTGCCTTCCTGGCCTTGTTAAATCACCATGAAGCAGAGTGAAAACTGTGGTAGAATGGTTAACAGATTTAAAGTGTCAGTTTCTTAGGTTTCATTTAAAGCACTAGTGGATTTTTTTTTTATATATTCTAGCAAGTCTGTGATGTACTTTCACTGGCTCTGTTTGTACATTGAGATTGTTTAACAATGCTTTCTATGTTCATATACTGTTTACCTTTTTCCATGGAGTCTCCTGGCAAAGAATAAAATATATTTATTTTAAAAACTGTGTAGAAGTAGTCGCTCTAGTCCAAATGTTACACACACAGACACACACACACGGTAGTTTTCCATTTTTTAATGTTTAAACTTCATTTCAAAAAGCAGGTTTGCTGTTTGCAACCATGACAATTAAAATGTGCTTTAGCACAGCTGTCTAGAACATCTCTACAAGCCAGTCAGACAAATACATGACATTTCAATGAGTAAAAAAGAGCATAAAACTGTAGGTGTAAGAACAAAATGTTAAAATGCCTACACACAATAATAAAAACCATCAATTACATTATCACATAAAATAAGTCAAATGTACAAAAGTTTGCGACAGAAGGGACAAAAGGACAACACAAGATATTTGTTGGAAAACATTTGTGTGCTCTTTGGGCACTTAATTAAACATATCAAAATCATCATCTTCATCAGACTCTGCAAAATATTTAACTTCTTTTCTAGCCCGGCCTGTCCGTGGCTTTGGGGCAGTTTCGGAGGCAAAGCCTGACTGAAAGATTTCCACATCAGAATCCTGGTCAAAAGTTGCTTTCTTGAATTTCTTTGGGAAAGAAAAGAGAAATCAGTTGTGATGCTGTGTATGTTTTCCCACTTAATACTCAGAATTGAATAAGCCTCTCTAACATCTAACTTCTAACCCCCCATTACCATATTAGCAACCTGTAACAAGAACATGCACCTTTTATGTAAAGTAATGCATTAGGTTCTTTTTACAAGGAGAAGAGAGCACAGATGGAACTGACCTTGCTCGCTGGGGGCTTGGGTGTTTTCTTCCCAGGGTTGTATTCGCCTTCATTTTCTGAACCAGATGCTTTCCTTTTCTTTGCCCCTCGGCCTTTTCCTGGGTGGGAGATTACAAATTAACTTTGTTTTCTTTTCTTCTTTAAATAAACTCAAGGCTTCATCAAACTAAAACCAAAACCTAGTGAAATTACTTTACGATGTCTACATGTTAAAATTCAAATTCAGTTTACAACTCAAGCTTCTTCATAACAGCAGTACAAAATCTTTTATTTTCTCAGTTTTAAATCTTTTATACTTCTCCCACAGTTACCATTCACCCTGACAATCCAAGCTCAAGTTCAAGTTCAAGACACGTACAAGCTTCATTAGATCAGATAACTTCTAGACTGCTGAGGTACTACAAGTCCTTGGTCACCACCTGAACTGATTACACAGCATTAATTCACTTTTACTATCTAGTAAATTCACTGCTACCCTTGACTATCAACACTGGCACATCCTTTACAGGTTCCTCTGATGACACCCCTTGGTGTGCCATATGAGGTCTCTCAAAACTGGGATGCCAAAGAATTGGCTTAGAGCCTGAAATCACTACTTACTACAATTACTACCAGAATTTAACCGTCTTGTAAAAAGCTGAGATCTAAGAAAACAAGCAGCGTCCAGTAGAACTGAAGAGGAAGGGGGGACAGGGTGTGTGTGTGTGTGTGTAGCTATTAAATGCATTCCCAACAGTGAAAGTCAGGTTAAAAGTTCACACATTGTTTGCCAAGAAGTCAGCTCACTGTATTTGTCACAGAAAAGGCTCATGGCTGAATAATCTATTAGTGATCGATTTACTAATAACTCAATGTGGCTCTAACAATAATTGTGACTCCACAGAGAGCAGAGATGTGACTCTTACCTTTGGGTGCTGCAGTTTTCTTTGGAATGCCAAATTCTGAATCTGAATCGGAGTTCACAGTTTCCACCTTCTTGGCCTTGGGAGCTCTTTTAGGCTTAGGGGACACATCGAGTTTTGCTAGAAGTTAAGAGATATTTAATATGTTCAGTTCACATAGCGGTTGGAAGTATTAAATTCTATTAGATACTCCAATTACAGCACAAATGGCAGACATGAAAACAAGATGAATGGTTTCTGCACTTGGGGAAAACATACTTCAGCTTTTATGCTAAATCTGTGTAGAATGAACGGGAAGTTTCCTTGGTCATGCTTTGAGATGTATTGGTGCATTCAGTAAATTCCAGTGTTCTTCACTGAATGTGATTGTTTTGAGCACAAAACAGGTTATCAGTAGCTAAAGCAGCAACAGAAATTTTCCAGGTTGGATACTTCGAACACATTTGGATACTGTAGAGTGTTAAGAGATACAGCTGCTTGTCACATTTTTGCCTTCACCTCGGTACAAATACAGGACAGCTTTCCCCACGCTGGCTGCAGGAGCTTGGGAGGGAGTGCATCTGGCTCTGAGACTTCCAGTCAGTCTTGGTAAAAAGGAGCTTCAGAAAAAGCAGAAAGGCCAGGAAGGGGACAGATCTGTGCATTTCTGACAGAAATCACTGTTACACAACTTGCTGTCTTTAAAAGATGGCCCTGGGAATGTTCACACAGTGGGTGACAGGGGATAGAGCCAATGGAATCATTTAGGTTGGTAAAGACCCTTAAGATCATCAGGTAATGTGCTCTATATACTTACAGATGAGTCAGTCTTGTGAAAACCCCAGGTACTGAGCTACACTCTTACCAGGCACAAAAACCTCATACAGACACATGTAAAAACACTCCAGATACCAGAAATGTGGACATCTGGGAGAACTCAAGCTTTCATTTATTTGCTAGGGGAATGTGTTCAGAGAACAAGAGAGTATCTCCACAAGCTTTTTGGCTATGATGCCTTGAACTGCTGCTACCCACTGGAGAGTCACTGCAAAGACACAGTTACATCATTGTGGCTTTTCATGATAATACCTACTGGGTAGTACAAGCATTAGGTACTGCCAATATGAAAATAAAGCCTTCTTTGGCATCATGGATGGGGAATCAAATGGTGTTTGCTATGGCACCATTTCAGGTCAGACTTGGGAAAGGAAGCAACAATGCTTCGGATGGAAGTCAGGAACCATGATTGAAAGCAACTTGAAACAGGTCTCGCTAGGTATCTCAACTGGGAAATAACAGCTGTATTAGCATAAAGCAAAACTAAGTAAGTCTCAAAGACCTATCACTAAACCTGAAAAAAGTACACAGCAACTGAAAGCAGGAGAAATACTTTCTAGAACCATCACCAAAAGTAAGCAGCTAGTCATCAGTAAAGCAGGGGGTAGTCCTACCTGCAGGTACATGATTTTATGTCCCATCAGGCAACAAAGTCCTTCACACAGGAAAAAGCTTTACCAGTGTAAGAAACATAGACTAGGGGGCAGGGAAGGGAAAGGCTCAGAAGTTTTATCCACTTGAAAATGGCAAGTAGAAATTCAAGTAGAAATTGTGACCCAAAGAATCTTAGTAGAAGGGATACATTTTAGATCTAGGTGACATTCAACATCAGGAGCTGAAGTTGGGACATTCTCCTACAGGTTTGTGTGAGTTTTGGCCAAGTAAATGTGCCTTACACAGTTCCTCACGCTGTTCATGTAAAACCTGCATGCCAGATGGAAGCCAAGTTTGCTCCATTGACAAGTACTGCCCAGCACATATACCACGAGATGTAACTATGAGCCTTGAGTCCTCAAGCTTGTTAATCAATGTCAGAAAAGGGGCAGACTTCTCACTGACAAACAAGGAATTGGGCAGAAGGAAATAACTGGGAAATGAAAGAGTGATATGACACACTGCAACAAACACTAGACTTGTTCACACCCTTGAAACCTTGAGACAGAGCCTGTTAGTCCTGGTTAACTCCTTGAATTCTGCCTGCAGAGCTTTAAGTCCAAGGGACAGGAAGCCTCTTAATTGTTATCTGGTGGCTAAAAGAATAGTGTTCAAGACTTTCAGAACACTTATTTCCCTCTGTACTAAATATAGGGGGTTTTCCATCTGCTACCTTAAATTATGTACCTAATGCAAGTGTGAAGGATCCATGAGCAATCAGCTCAGCCAAGCTCTCCACTAGGTATCATGACACAAAACAGAAATCTGCAGTATGATCAATGCACACATGCTCTCAAGAAGCCCAAATGTTTGATAGGACGTCCAGGTATGGTATCAGTCCTACAGCTGATGCAAGGAGTACATCTCACTGCTGGAATCTCAACAGCTGGGCTGTTCAAGGTGAGCAGCTGCCTATTGTATCAAGAGCCACCAGGCTGTTTTTCAGATTTCCCTCAGGCTTATTATTAAGCACTAGAACCACAGACCTCTCAAACAGTCATGGAAAGCAAACTTGGCAGTCTCTTGATCCTCTGCAGTGAACACCAGAGGTCAAGAGATTTTTTCGACTAAGTCTGAAAAGCAGATAACTCATACCTATTTCTTCTCATTGAGAAGAGAATGTAGAGATAGCAAGGCACAAAAAATGCTTTTTCATCCTTACAAATCCAAGCTCTCAAGTCTCAGAAAAATCAAACAACTCTGGAACAATTGTTTCAGCCATAAAATAGACATTCCCAGAGGGTGAGTGGATGGGATATTACACTACCAGAAAATGGGTCTTGAGGAGGCTGCTGCTAAGTCCATGTCCAGTTCATGAAGATGGACTTAGAATCAAAGGGACTATTAAAAAGATAGTAGATGACCCATGAACTAAGCATACTGGGTTATGACTGCACAGTCAAACTGTGATCATGAAACTGTGGTCATGTCTAATCTGGGCAGAAGAGATGAAAACTAGTGAAAACAACCTGCCATATTGTCATGCACTGAAACAAAGACTGTCCCTAAGGCTACTCTGAAAGCAAAAATGTAACTTTTGCTTGAAAGAGCCTGTTTATACCTATTTTGTGAGTTCAGAGGTTAATCAGAAACTCAGAAACAGATCATAGCTGTATTTTAAGGTTCCAAGGCAGGTTAATGGCAATGCAACACATCCCAGCCTTGAAAAAACAGAGAAAGAGATTGAATGTTAAATTGCATCCATGCCTAGCTACTGCATACACAGTTCTCCCTTGTATTCACTGCAGCACAGAAGTTTAATATAAAAGACTACTCTATTAGAGAACAGCTATTTCTGTAAACAATCTTTATTTACTGTATTATAGAACTGTATTTATTTGCTGCATTATAGAGCCAATGGAAAGTGTTTGAGAAGCATTCAGGCATGTGCTGATGCAAACAGTTTACAAATTAGATTAGACACAATGCATCAAGAAAGAGATTAGAAATAGGGAAGCAATTGGAGAGAGGATGAAAAGATGCTGCAGTCCACTGGTACCTAATATACAACACAAGATTATTTTTTTCTCATTTTTAAGAGAGTAAGTTAACTATTGTAACCGGCTGCTTTCTTGCAAACCTCCTTGAGGTAGCTTTTTGGGGAAGAACTAATACATTAAGTTCAGTCGCAAGTTGGTCAAAAGAAGTTTTCACAAATAAAGGCCACAGTATCCCAGGAAAAGAAATGCTTTTGGAGGACAGAAGACTGAGCAGCAAAAAAAGGGAAATTATCTGAATCACAGAGCAAGAAAGGCAAAGATCTGAAAGCAACAAAATCCCTGATCTGTCATGTGCTAAGAACTGTATTCAATAAGCTGTTTAAACTACTACTAGGTTAGCAAAACCATTATTTTCACCATTAAGTATGCCAGTGTCTAGCATAATCTTCAATACATTTAGAAACAAGAGCAAGTCTTCCTCTTGAAAAGCAGCACTAACAACTGGTAAACTAACACTCCTCAAGGCAGGCAGAGCAAAAAAAACTTACTCTTACAAACACCCAAGCATGACCACAGAAACAAATCCAAATAATAAACACAATCTTCCTGGAATTGTGCTTATTTATGCAATGTAAGAACCTGCAAGATGCCAGTTCTAAAAGCCAACTAGTAATTGAAAGAATTTATACCTCTGAAGTTTGAGGAGAGCCTTTCATCCTCTGTCTCAAGAAGAAAAACAACTGTGCCAAGTGGAACTTACTGTGATAGCCTACTGTGCTGGTTTTGGCTGGAAGAGAGTTCATTTTCTTCGTAGTAGGTAGTATGGGACTGTGTTTTGGATTTGTGCTGGAAGGAGTGTTGACAATACAGGGATGTTTTTGTTACTGCTGAGCAGTGCTTGCAAAGCAAAGGACTTTTCTGCTTCTCACACCATCCCACCAGCAAGTGGGCTGGGGGTGCACAAGGAGCTGGGAGGGGACACAGCTGGGACAGCTGACCCTGACTGACCGAAGGGATATTCCACACCACATGGCATCATGCTCAGCATATAAAGCTGGGGAAGGGGCAGGGGAAACAGACATTAGAAGTTATGGTGTTATGTCTTCCCAAGTAAGCATTATGTGTGGTGGAGCCCTGCTCTCCTGGAGATGGGTGAACACCTCCTGCCCATGGGAAGTGGAGAATGAATTCTTTGTTTTGCTTTGCTTTGCTTGGGTTGCATGCACAGCTTTAGCTTGACCTATTAAACTATCTCAGCCCATGAGTTTTCTCACTTTTACTCTTCTGATTCTCTCCCCCATCCCACCGTGAAGGAGTGAGTGAGCAGCTGCTTGGTGCTTGGTTCTGGATGGGCTTAAACCATGACACCTGCTTAGCACACAAGTATTTC